CTGTAGTCAACTCTGTAGCTGGTGCATTGACTGTGGGCAGGTATCCAACAACATCTTCTGAGATTGATTCTTGGTCCCTGGTTTTGATATTAAACCCAGTCCAACTTGGGATTGTCTGACTCTCTGATGTTGTTTGTCTTGCTAGGATCCATACCAGGTTCTTGTTACAGGCGACTTGAGCAGACTCTTGTGCTTCCTGGATGTGGTTCTCACTGGTTGGTAGAGGCTGTGGACCTACACGTGCGCTAGCTACATAGACTTCCAGATCTTCGTGTTCAATATTGACTGATCTTTGTTTCAGTTTATCAATGCTAGGAAGTTCTGTCGTAGGTGGATGAGGTCCATAGACCTTAGGCTGGACCGCTATTCCGTTGACTCGATGTGATGTACCATTTCCAGTAAGTGTCTCCTCCAGTCTGTCTATATTGTCCCATGCAAGATTTGTGAAGGCATAGGGTTTGATGGAGACTGGTAGAACAGCTCTCTGGTTGAAGCCCATTGCTAACTTCTGGAGACAGAGAGCAGTATCATTCTCTTCTAGCTGGTCATAAGACACTCCATGTCCAAACTTGTTCAGTGTCCGAATGACCTCAATGTTTCCAGTGAGTGCTTTCACCGCATAAGGAAGCAGGAAATCTTTTGGTGGTTTATACTGCCCACGTGTCAGCGTATATCATGTCCTGGCTAAATGACTCAACTAGAATAGCAGTCCTGTGGGATGTATTCGTAGTACTAGATTCTCCAGTGAGGAGCCCGACAAGAAATCGCTCTAGTTGATTTGGTATGGCGATATGAGTAGCTACATCAAACGGATGGTATGGCCATGGTGTGGATATCATGTTCTGTTTGATGGCCGTTCGGATATGTGATGAAGTCTGATCTATGATCTTGTTGACATCTGTAGACTTGGCCTTCCAAAGCTTGAGCTCCCTGTGTAGAGTTTGATTTTCCAAGACAACATCTTTTAATGATACACAGAAGGGAACCAACAACAACTTTCCCTTGTCATCGGGAAATATTTCCATGGAACCTCCAAGCTCGGATTGCAGTCTTCTGTGGATATTCTTCTTTGTTGAATCTTTCAGAAGTTTAACTCCACCAGATAACTATATTTAGGTGAATGAAGAATCTTTGACTAGTTGAAATAATAGACACAAATTACTGTCCTAACTGCTATACGAGCTTGAAAACAGCAATTTTGGTGGCCGTCTTGCATTTTGGCGGCCATCTTGGATTTATTTTTATCAAATGTGTGTTCAATGTTTTAGGTAAAGACAGAAATGAAATCTACGACTCATAATACCTGGTCATAGACACCAAAATCACTGTCTGTGCCATAGAACGATGATATATACTAAATGAGTGTTTTGCGGCATTTTTGGAAGGTGGATGATCTCACATAAGCTGGCACCCCCCATGCTATACATCTATTTCTAACTCTAGTAGGGGTCCAGCCTTCAAAAATCCTTTTAGTCATTCTCCCCCCCGATTGGTGATACCGACCAACCCTGGCTGATGGACTATGTTAGACATCAGTCGTACAGCCTGTCGGCAGCGCTCGCTCGAGAAGAGATGAAATTGAGAGAGGGGAGCGAGGAGCGCAGGGAAGAGAGTTTGGAAGAGATGAGCGCGAGGAGAGGAGGAAGAGAGAGGAGGAGGAGAGGAGAATGAGAGAGGAGAGAGAGAGGAGAGAGAGGTGTGTGGAGAGAGCGAGGGGCGAATGAGAGAGAGAGAGAGAGAGAGAGAGAGAGAGAGGAGAGAGAGAGAGGAAGAGAGGAAGAGAGGAGAGTGATAGGATAGCCGAGAGCGAGAGAAAGAGAGAAAAGAGAGAGAGCAGAGAGGCGCCCGCGACAGAGTGAGACGGAAATGAGAGAGATACGATGAGCGAGCAAGAGAGAGAGAGGAGAGGGGCGGAGTCAGAGAAGAGCGAAAGACAAAGCAGCAGAGAGAGACAAGAGGGAGAGTAATGTGAGCGAGCCGCTGAGAGGAGAGAGAGGGAGAGAGAGCTGTGAAGGAAGAGAAGGCAATGAGAGAGAGAGAGGATAGAGAGAGAGGGAGAGAAAAGAGAGAGAGAGAGTGCTAATCGAGCGAGGGAGAGAGTGAGAGAGAGAGGAGAGAGAGAGGAAGCGCGAAGGAAGAGAGAGCAAGAGAAGAGAGCGCAAAGAGAAAAGATCTGAGAGACACGAGGGAGAACGCGAACGCAGAGGCGATGGGAGGGTGCTCTGTTCGTTTGTCGAGTTTAGCATCAGAACACTGCGTCAGATGAGCGCTGTCGCTCTGCCGGCAATTGTTTTTTTAAATTATGCAAATGTAGGTTAGTCTTGGGCAATTTCCTATGCATTTCAGTGTCTGGCCTACGTCGTCACGTAATCAGAACCGTTTGACCACATTGTTTTCATGAATACGGTTGTTACTCCTATGGCTATACGGCGGACACACTAGGCGATTAAATCGGGTGACTAAATGCCCGTTTCGCTATCGCGCGGTTGAGTGGCCACACTTAGGCGATTAAATCGCGGCGACTAAATCGGGCGATTAGAATCGCCGCGTGAATCGACTAGTCGTGCATGGCATGTGCACGTAGACGTTGCGTGCGTGCGGTGCAGTGCGTGATGCCACGTAACCTTGCGTGCATTCATGCGTGCTGTGCGTGTTGTATGTAAAGGTGCGTGCGTGTGTGCGTGCGTGTGTGAGTGTGCGACGTTACGTGCGTGCGTGCGTGCGGTGCGTGCGTGCGTCACGTGCAGGTGCATGTGTGCGTGTGCACGTACAGGTGCGTGGCGTGCGTGCGTGTGTTTGTAATACACGTGCGGCTGTGCGTGGGCGGTGCGTGAGGTGACGTGTGCTAGTACACGTGCGTGCGGTGCTTGCGTGCGTGTGTACGTCACGTGGCGTTCGTGGTGCGTGCGGGTGCGTGTGCATCTTACGTGGTAATGCGTGGGGAGGTGCGTGTATGCACGATAACGTGCTGCGCGTGCTGTGCGTCGCGTTTGATCGTACACGTGCGTGCTGCCGTGCGTGTGTGCGTCGCGTTGTCGTGGCCGTATACTGCGTGCTGCATGTGTGCGTGTGCGACGTACACGTGCTGCCGCGCTAGTGGTGTGCAGAGTACACGTGCGTTGCGTGGCGTGCGTGCGTGTGTACGTTACATCGTGCGTTCGTGCTTGGCGTTGGCGTGCGTGGCCCTTACACGGTGCGTACATTGCGTGCGTGGTGCGTGTGAAGTACGTGTCGTGTGTGCCTGCGTGCGGTGTGAGTGCGTGCGTGTTCACGTAACGTGCGTGCGTGCGTGCGTGTGTGTGTGTCGTGTGTGTGCAGGTAACGTTCTGTGCGTGCATGAGTGTTGTGCGTGCGTTTGTGCAGCGTTACACGGGGTGCTGTGCGTGGTGCGTGTGTACGTACACGGTGCGTCGTGTGCGTGTGCTACGTTCACCTGCGTGCATGCGTGCGTGGTACTGTGTGCAGTAGCACGTGCTCAGTGCATGAGTGTGTGCATTGCGTGTGCACGTACACATGCGGCGTGCGTGCGTGCAGTCGCTCTTCTGGCATGCACATACTAAAACATGAAATCTCTATTAAGTCAGTATATGAACAGCTCTGTTGGCTAAGAAATTTACTCGGGCGATTTTATCGCGGTCCCCGGGACTCTTAGGGCATTATTAAATCGGGGCGACTAAATCGCGCGTAATGTCGAAAACGTTTTGATCTTATGCGTAAATCTGGGCCGACTCAATCGGCGCGATTGAGGTGGACACTAGGCTATTTCACGGCGATTTAGTCGCACACCGATTTAAGTCGCCCGATTTATCGGTTCTAGTGTGTCCGGCCCTTATGGAGAGATTTAACGTCCTTTTTGGAGGACGCCAGTTAGGGGTTGACACGAGCACGCTCACGTTTTTTTGTAAAATGAAATGGCCATCTAATTCTTTTCGTTAAATTTTGGTTGTGATGTGTAAGGGCTAGCCAAACGTCGTTACTCCTGTGGGAGAGATGACAACGTTCCTATTAGCTTATTTCGTCTAGCAAGCTTAGTCGGTGGGGCAAAGCTACGGCGCGGGCCGCATGGCCTCTACGGGGTTCTGTGCGGCACGCGGAAGCCTGGCAAATAAAATAACAAAAGATTTTTGTGAAAGTCAACATGTTGTGCTTGACGAGGCTGACTTTTTCAAGTGTCATACGATTACTGTTTTATTGTCTCTGGGTGTCGCTTGCATTTTTTCAGCTATTTTATGGCTCCAGAAAAATGCGCTTGTGGGCCAAACGCACGTTATTATCTTTAGCGCCACCTGCCTGATTTTAAAGGTGTGCGCCCTTCGAGTGTTTTCATGGGCGATGATGCGGCCATCGCTTTTGAAAAGTTGCCCACCCTGCCGGCTTCTGCTTGGTTAACAATTTACATCATACTTCTATATAGTGCTAAATATTGATGTTTGATTCTTTTATACAGTTCTTTGACTGGAATATTTTATTGTTTTTATTTGCGCGATATTCGAAAACCAAATGGCTGATCGGGAGCGCATCTCTCGTCAAGATTTCAGACTTTCAGATCTGAAACATTTATTTTCGCATCAAAACTTCGTCGTGTGCAGTCGTCTCTCAGCATGACTCGTTTTCCAGACATTGTGAGATTGTAATATAAAGAACTCACCCGGCAGGCATCCAACGAAAAATGGCGTGGGTAGTTACAGTTACAAAATTTCTAGCGGTCTTGCGCACATACGATAGTTTTCGTACGTGACTGTTTCATACTGACCGTTTTCTCTGCTATAATCCCACGTGGGTGCGGTTGTGTCTACTTCAGACAAATCCAAACTTGCGGGAAAAAACTGATATGTTTACGTGATGTTTCCGAGTGTGTCTTTTTGCAGTGAGTTTCCAATCCAACTAGGAAGCTTACTTATCTTGCGTTTATCGCCTTGGGCAAACTCAATATAACGTTGCTAATAAGTTACATAGCGCGGTGCGGATATCACGTGATCAGGCAACATGACCCTAGCGCTCAATGCAACTAGGAACTCGAGGCTAGCTAGGCTTATGACCTCAGGCAACAAGTCACTGACCCTAACTACTACACTAATTCTACTGGGCGTTCGTAGTCTAAATCTGGGGTTTATAAAACCGTGTGTACCGTGCGGCATCAGGGGCGTGTACAGGATTTTGACCAGGGGGGGGGGGGTCTGACGTAACCCAAACTTGCGAGCACGCGAAGGGGGGGTCTGGGCCCTCCCCCAGAAAAATTGAAATTAAACCCCCTCAGATGCGTTTTCTGCGCGAGCAGGGGGGTGTCCAGACCCCCTGGACCCCCCCCCCTGTACACGCCCCTGGGCATTGATGTTTTTTGAGGGAAGCGTAACACAGCCCGATAATTAGCAGCGTTTATAACGAACGTATATAGCTAGGTATTTTTAGGGGTAGATAATGACAAATGTCCATAGACGAATACGAGTTGTTACAGTAAATAAAGGTAGCATGTCGAAGTGGGGGTCACTTGTTTGGAAACCATTTCGGACCGGTGTGCTTGACAGTAATTGCGTGCGCACATAGGCCTAGGCCTATATATTGGTCAGCTTGCAACGACAGGTGAGCGCGTATAAAATAGTCCGCCATCACATTGTCAGTATTGCCTATGTCGCACACTAACATCAAGAGCTAATAATAGGTATTATTAGCTCTTGCTAACATGCATACGAGCTAACGTTGTATCACCGGCTTTCACTACTGCTACTTCAAAGATTTCTAGAGCCGCAGAGAGTTCGAGCTAAAGTTAAACTCACTAACTAATTATGATGAGCCATAAGCCGTAACTGCCATTGGGTAGTATAGGCATAGAGGTTGAAGAACAGAGAGTGTTTCCACCGCCTCTCCGTCGTTGTAAATTATGTTTATGTTGTTCAGTGTCCTGAGCTTATTATCTCTGTATTCTTTCAATGAAAATTCTACGGGATGCATATTTAAAAGGCGGAGTTCTAACAGAGCTGGATTTGCATGTGATATATATATGGTCTTGCATCTGTTTCTATGGTGTGAAGCGTATAGCGTGTAGGGTGTAAGGGTACGCGTGGGACTTCTTACTGCACCTAAACGTCGATTAGCGAAGGGTGGTTAAGAGTGATAAGAGTGAATAAATTAAGAGAAATGAATGAATGAATGAATGAATTTATTTATTTATTAAAATTATTTAATTAATTAATTAAATTAAGAAAAATTTGATAAGAGTGGTTACGCCTAGCATTGTTACTTGTGAATGTTTGATCGTTGCGTACTTGAAATCAAGGTGGCTTCAGCTGTCTTGAAATCGCACCAACGGCCAAGCTTCCCCTTGAAGTTATCGCAACCGTTTGCTACATCGCCTCGGTCTCTTTTAATAATAAAATATAATAAAATATGCGCGCTGCATGCGAGTATTCATACCGGCACGTGAAATATATGGCACTCGTGAGTCTGACTGGAGACGGGAGCGATTGGCGTTGCCACGTAACGAGAGGTATGTGAATGTGTAAGGTTAGCCCTAAAACAGTTGTTACGGTACTCCTATGGGAGAGATGACAACGTCCTATTACGTTTATTTTCTCCTCCTCGCTTATTTACGTTTATTTACGTCTAACTGGTCAACGACTCTACAATCATACCTATACACGTGTAATATTGTGTTTTAGATTCTTCGTTACAGTAATTTGACTGAAATATTTTATTGTTTTTATTTGCGCGATATTCGAAAACCGAAATGGCGATCATTTAGGTGTAGCGCCATCTTTCGTCAAGATTTCAAACTCAGATCTGAAACAATTATTTTCGCATCAAAACTTATGCATATATTATTATCAATAGTATATAATGGGAGATATGCTATATAGTGGGAGTTCTCCCATATATACTATTGCTTTATATATCCCCTTCCCTCTTCTATCACACCCAAGGTGAGCTACAGTGTCATTGACACTTTGATTTATTCTTCTCCTTCTTCTTTGGGTTTCATTCCCCTCCTCCTCCTCCTCCTCCTCCTCCTCCTCCTCCTTCTCCTCCTCCTTTTCTTCCTTCTCCCCTTCTCCTCATCCCCTGCCTCCTTTCCCCTGCCTCCTCCACCTTTTCTCCTTGTCCTTTTCTTCCTTCTCTTCTTCTTCTTCCCCCGCCCCTCTATTCCTCCACTTGGTCGTTATTTTACTCTATCTTCCTCTTTTAGTTGTTGTTGTTCTTCTTCTCTTTCATCGCCGTCTCCCTTGAGCGAACCAGGCCCGGGCCTGCATGCCTCTCTATTCACAGAGACTCGCGTATCTGCTGGGTGTCACTATGCATGTGATGCCTTCGCGCGAGCAGTGAATTCGCATTCACTGCCTCTTCACGTCAGCTGTGCAGTGCTTTAAGATCGCCCTGCAACCCATGTCGTGGCTGTATTATTTAGACTGTGGGGGCTGGCTTCATGCACATGAGTGATGTAGGACAGTGCAGCTTATGGCCCTGTCACACATTGACGATTTAGCCAGCGTATGTCGGACGTATCAAAATTTCTCTAAAACGCTGGCATACGCTGAACTATCGATGTTTTTTTTCAATTTTGAGCGTATACATAGCGTATTCATAACGAGTTGGACGCATACTTAACGTATTAGTAACGTATATATAGAACGTTTCGAAAACTTATAGATAACTTATACCAACGAATGCTTAGCGTGTTGCCGGCGTTCACAACTTATGCCCAACGATAGTCTAACTTATGCATAGCGCGCGGCAGCGTATCGCCGACGATCACGTGTCGTAGCCTATAAAAAGGCTCCCGCTCGACGATTCAAATCATAACCGCACTAGACATCGCAGTATCAACATCACCGTCGCAGTATCAACATC